GGACACATATTTTGCAAAAAACGTGTCATGTTTTTGGTTTTAACGCAACTCTGGTGACACATATTCCGCGGAAATCACGTTTTTGGTGCTAGCACAGCTCCACTGACACATATGTTGCGGAAAATATGTCATGCTTTTGGTGTTAACACAACTCTGGCGACACATATTCTGCAGTAGATGTGTCATATTTATGGTGTTAACACAACTCGAGTGACACATATTCTGCGGGAAATGTGTCATGTTTTTGGTGTTAGCACAGCTCTACTGACACATATTTTACGGAAAATGTGTCATGCTGTTGGTGTTAACACAACTCTAGTGACACATATTCTGCAGAAAATGTGTTAGCACAGCTCTACTGACACAGATTTCGCGGAAAATGTGTCATGTTCCTGGTGTTAACATTATCCTTGACTTTCTTCTTTTATTCCTTGTTGAATGGCAAGTTAAAAACGGGAGGGGCGAGGAGGGAAGAGGAAAGAACAAGAAGCAGGAAGAGGGGAAGAGAAAGGAATGGAAGGAAGGAAGGAAGGAAGGAAGGGGGAAGGAAGGAAGGAGGCAGAGAGGGAGAGAGAGAGAGAGGGAGAGATAGAGACAAAGAGAAGAGAGAGAGAGAGAGAGAGAAAGCGAGAGTGAAAGAGAAAGAGAGGGAGAGAGATGCGATGAATAAACGAACCACACTGAGCTATTTAAAGGGTGTTAAGTCTTTTAGAGGACCCATAATTTAAACATTTTGAATAATTGAATTCAGGCATTCATTTTTTCATAATATTTGGGAGGCTCAAGATATGAACATTGGGCAAACATCACTGTATTTGAACGATGCAAACAGTTTTAGTTATGGTTACTGCAAAACATTAAAATCTAGAGTGGAGACCTAAGACCTCAATCATATTATGGATTTACAAAAAAAGCTCTTCTTGCAGCCTGGTAAATATCTTAAAGTATTGAAAAACGTAAGACTGCAACAACGTTAACGAAAGTTGTTGTTTTGCAAAACCTTAAAGCGCCATCATCTTTTAACGAAAGGTTCGATTTGAACCTTGATATGTCCTCAACATCAACAACGAAAGGCTTGTTTATCAACCAGCTGCGCCGGCAACGTCAAAACGACAGTTTTTGTGTAAACCCTAGTGTGTCCTGAACTTCAAAAACGAAAGGATTCTTGTAAACCTTGGTGTGCCACCACCCTCAAAAACGAAAGTATTTTTAAAAAACACGTGTAAGCGAAAGTGTTTTTTGTAAACCCTAGCAAAGGATTTTTGTCAGCCCTAGCGTGCCCTCAACCTCAAACGAAAGCTCCTTTTAAATTTTAAATCCTTAAAACCTAGAAAATTTCAGCAAAGAAGAAGGCAAGGATTTTTAAAATTTAAAAGGGGCCCCGGGGTCTCAGGGTTTAGGGGGTAGGCGCTGAGGCGCTTAGGAGCTTAGGGTGCAGGTTTAGGGATTTCGGAGCCTAGGAGCTTAGGGTTTAGGGTTTAGGGTTTGATTTAAGGCTTAAGGGTTTGGGGGGTAGGCGCTTAGGCGCTTCGGAGCTTAGGAGCTTTGGAGGGTTTAGGGATTTAGCGGGTAGGCACTTAGGCGCTTAGGACCTCAGGAGCTCAGGGTTTAGGGTTTAAGGGTTTAGGGGGTGGACGTTGAGGAGCTTAGGAGCTTTGGAGCTTAGGGGTTGAGGATTTAGGGGGTAGGCACTTAGGCGCTTAGGACCTCAGGAGCTTAGGGTTTAGGGTTTAGGGTTTAGGGGGTAGACGTTGAGGAGCTTAGGAGCTTTGGAGCTTAGGGTTTGAGGATTTAGGGGGTAGGCACTTAGGCGCTTAGGACCTCAGGAGCTTAGGGTTTAGGGTTTAGGGTTTAGGGGGTAGACATTGAGGAGCTTAGGAGCTTTGGAGCTTAGGGTTTGAGGATTTAGGGGGTAGGCACTTAGGCGCTTAGGACCTCAGGAGCTTAGGGTTTAGGGTTTAGGGTTTAGGGGGTAGACGTTGAGGAGCTTAGGAGCTTTGGAGCTTAGGGTTTGAGGATTTAGGGGGTAGGCCCTTAGGCGCTTAGGACCTCAGGAGCTTAGGGTTTAGGGTTTAGGGGGTAGACGTTGAGGAGCTTAGGAGCTTTGGAGCTTAGGGTTTGAGGATTTAGGGGGTAGGCCCTTAGGCGCTTAGGACCTCAGGAGCTTAGGGTTTAGGGTTTAGGGGGTAGACGTTGAGGAGCTTAGGAGCTTTGGAGCTTAGGGTTTGAGGATTTAGGGGGTAGGCCCTTAGGCGCTTAGGACCTCAGGAGCTTAGGGTTTAGGGTTCAGGGGTCAGACGTTGAGGAGCTTAGGAGCTTTGGAGCTTAGGGTTTGAGGATTTAGGGGGTAGGCCCTTAGGCGCTTAGGACCTCAGGAGCTTAGGGTTTAGGGTTTAGGGGGTAGACGTTGAGGAGCTTAGGAGCTTTGGAGCTTAGGGTTTGAGGATTTAGGGGGGAGGTTGTTCGGAGCTTAGGAGCGTAGGGTTTAGGGCTTAAGGGTTTAGGGGTGAGGCCCTTAGGCGCTTAGGGGCTTAGGGTATAGGGTTTAAGGATTTAGGGGGAAGGCGCTGGGCCTCCCCACCTTTTAAATATGAACAAAACCTTAAAACTCCTAAAATCTAGAAGGCCCGGGCTTTCAACCTTAAATTCCATAAATTCCTTAAATTCCTTAAATTCTTAAATTGGGTAAATATTTTTTTGGTAGGCCCTTTTTTAAATTTTACAAAAAGAAACCTTAAATTCCTTAAATTCCTTATATTCTTAAATTAGGTATTTAGGAGTTTAAAGAATTTAAGGAATTTAAGGTTTTCTTAAAGTTAAAAAAAGGCATTTTTCAATTTCAAAAAAACCTTAAAGTCCTTAAATTCCTGAAATTCTTAAATTGGGTAAATAAAATTGTTGGGCAGGCCCTTTTTTAAATTTTAAAAAAGCCTTAAATTCCTTAAATTCTTAAATTATGTATTTAGGAGTTTAAAGAATAAGGAATTTAAGGTATTTTTAAAATTTAAAAAAGGCCTTTGTAAATTTTAAAACAATCTTAAATTCCTTAAATTCCTCAATTAGGTATTTAGGAATTTAAGGTTTTTTTTTTTTTAAATCCAAAAACGCCCTTTTAGATTAAAAAAAACCTTAAATTCCTTAAATTCCTTAAATTCCTTAAATTCTTAAATTGGGTAAATAAAATTGTTGGGCCGGCCCGTTTTAAAATTTTAAAAAAACCTTAAATTCCTTAAATTCCTTAAATTCCTTACATTCCTAAATTAGGTATTAAGGAATTTAAGGTTTTTTTAAAAATTTAAAGAAGCCCTTTTTACATAAAAAAAAAATCTTAAATTCCTTAAATTCCTAAATTAGGTATGTAGGAATTTAAGGTGGTTTTGAAATTAAAAAAAGCCTTTTTAATCGGCGGCCCCTATTTCAAAACCCAGGCCCCCCAATTTAAATTTTATAAATTCCTTAAATTCTTTAAATTCCTTAAAAAAGAAATACCGGCCCTATTTCCAATTTAAGGAATTTAAGGAATTTAAGCCCTTTAAATTCCTTAAATTCCTTAAAAAAGAAATACCGGCCCTATTTCCAATTTAAGGAATTTAAGGAATTTAAGCCCTTTAAATTCCATAAATTCCTTAAAAAAGAAATACCGGCCCTATTTCCAATTTAAGGAATTTAAGGAATTTAAGCCCTGTAAATTCCTTAAATTCCTTAAAAAAGAAATGCCGGCCCTATTTCCAATTTAAGGAATTTAAGGAATTTAAGGAATTTAAAGGATTTATAAAATTTAAATCGGCGGCCCCTATTTCAAAACCCAGGCCACCCAATTTAAATTTTATAAATTCCTTAAATTCTTTAAATTCCTTAAAAAAGAAATACCGGCCCTATTTCCAATTTAAGGAATTTAAGGAATTTAAGCCCTTTAAATTCCTTAAATTCCTTAAAAAAGAAATACCGGCCCTATTTCCAATTTAAGGAATTTAAGGAATTTAAGGAATTTAAGCCCTTTAAATTCCTTAAATTCTTTAAAAAAGAAATACCGGCCTTATTTCCAATTTAAGGAATTTAAAGAATTTAAAGGATTTATAAAATTTAAATCGGCGGCCCCTATTTCAAAACCCAGGCCACCCAATTTAAATTTTATAAATTCCATAAATTCTTTAAATTCCTTAAAAAAGAAATACCGGCCCTATTTCCAATTTAAGGAATTTAAGGAATTTAAGCCCTTTAAATTCCTTAAATTCCTTAAAAAAGAAATGCCGGCCCTATTTCCAATTTAAGGAATTTAAGGAATTTAAGGAATTTAAGCCCTTTAAATTCCTTAAATTCCTTAAAAAAGAAATGCCGGCCCTATTTCCAATTTAAGGAACTTAAGGAATTTAAGCCCTTTAAATTCCTTAAATTCCTTAAAAAAGAAATA